TTAGCACCAAGAATTTTCAACAATGAATATTATAGCAAGGAACTTTTTGGGAGCTGAAATCCATATGTCCAGAGGATAACCAGACAGAAGGAACATTTTTGCCTTCATTCATAAGAAACATCTTACTTTGTCATGTTTTGAGATTTAGAGGTGCTATCTATGCTACGTTGTTGACATTTTGTGTTTTTCTGGGTTCCAGGATTACAGTGTGCATGTAGTTATAAACTGGATCTATTACTCTGTGATATATAGTTTTACTCATACATGCACACTAAAACTCACTGTAATGTAATGGTTAAGGTGCTGGACTAGAAGTGGAAAGATCACGTTTCTAGTCCTCTTTTAGACGAAGAAACCAATGGGTGATGTTGCACCAGTCATCCTTTCTTTAGACCAGGAAGCTAAAAACTTCTATACATTAACTCTCACTACACTACTATAGTAGATTATAGTTCATAATAGTAATGGACATAAATAATTTACTGAGTATATACTTCTGGCTGATTCCAATTATAACACTTCCCCCAGAAATTTCTTTTTCTGCCATCTTCTATGATATTTCAGACAATTCTTATATTTAATAAGTGGATGTTCACAAACATTATTTCTCTAAGTATAAATGACATTCTTATTTTAAACTCTAATCTCCTCAAGGACCCCAAAGTTGTCTTTTGCATTGCTGCCTAATTAATCTTTGAGAAGAGAAAAATGTATGGCTGATGATAATAGTATGACAATTCATTACAGTCGGCAAATGCTTGAGTCCTAATTAAAAAGAAAGCAAGTTGAAGGACAGCAAAGGATCTAAAAGCATCTCTGACACTAAAGGTCCTTCTTAATATATTTCCTGTCTATCACAGTTATTATTGCAGAGTGGGCTGACAGGTCAATTATGTACTTGCAGAAGAACTGATACAAAGGATGTTACAGTCTCAGATGCAAACCCTTGCAAACATGGTCTCTAAATAGTAGATAGTCTCACCTTGAAAAGCTCAACATTTTGAGAGCACTCTTTCTTAAGAGAACAGCAGCCAATTGGCCATACTGTTAAATCAAATGAGGCTGCTGTCTTGAGCAGAATATGCTATGGGGCAGAAAATGCTGGAGTGAGATTGTACGAGCCATTGAAGGTAGCTGAAGAGGCTGGCTCATTGCTTGAATACAAGCAAGGCCCAATTTCCTAATCAGTCCTGATGGTTTCTATCTGCAGAATGAAGATGGATGGCACTCTCTCCTTTGCTAAAGGTAACAAAATGTCTATCGTCAAGTCAAAACTGCAGATATGGCCCCAGTAACATTATGGTGGGGCTGTCTATTGCCATCTCCCCTTTCTCAGAGGACAGATGAGCCAGACTTCATTCCATATATAGTATATGGGTGTACATATCCAATAGTGAGTCAGGAATAGTTGAGTCAGACTATTCCTCCCTTTATGGGACAAGTGCTATTTGTGGTCATAAGTGATTAACCACATGTCCATGATTATAACTGAGTAGGAATTATTGTGTTTCCTGATTGACTTTGATGGCATCGTTTCCCCACTAACTTTTTATTATGGACAGATAACTTTTGATCCCATTTAACTTTGGGTTATAGTAGCCAAAAGTTGCTAATTTGGGAAGCGTGCTAAGGCACCAAAGGGAGAATTGTATGTGTGCCTTTGTGCATTTCATCCTGGTTGGCTTGAGAAATGGGGCAGAGAACAATCTTGGATTCCCTTTCTGTCCAGTAAACACTAACAGGGGTTGGATTAGTGTAAGCTGGAATTTCTCTAATGATTTATTTATTTAGCGTATAGCATATTATACCTGGACTAGCAATATAAATTAACATTTCAACTACATTAGTAGAACTCAGTAAAATATAAATGTCAACAAGAACTATATTCAAATATCAATGGCTAGGTCATCTAACCACTGAAGCTCAGCATTGTTTATATTAAAAAAAAAAATACTGAACCGGTATATGCCCTCAGTTACAGCTGGTCATAATGTGATCTACAGTTTGACGTGAGACCACGCAGTCACACTGAGGGGAGGATACTATGCCCCATTTATACAGACAATCCCAACAGATGACAGATGAGGTGTGAATCCTGACCTGATAGTTCAAAGCCTGGCACCTCTTTTTGTGGGGTCATTTATATGCCTTACTATGTCTGGGCATTCAGCAACCCATTTGGCTTCCTCTCACGTGATTTAAAAGCAGGAACATGATGACAGGAGATGATTATTCTCACTTCCCAGAATGGGATTGCCCTTGACACACACTATAGCTCACAGCCTTCTAAACAATGGGATCTCCAATTTCTTTTTGTGTGTGTGAGCTGTTCTTTATCACAGATCTTTTGTGGATTTAATAAAAAAACTCCTGGCTCATGTAGTCCTTCTGGCAGATAACACCAATCACTGATAATATAACAGTATATAGTTCGATCTTTATTTTTGGCCTCTCTATATCTGATGCCCTTTTATAACTGACATAAAATAAATGCATAATGGAATGAAACAGGGAAAGTATTTGACTGACCAGGACTTTGGCCATGATCAGTTTTAGATATGAATGTTTTGTGGATAAATTGATATTTGAAAGTCTTTTTTTCTGCAAATGAATTTTAAGAGATTTTCCTGAAAACATTGGGTAGATCTATATACACAAATAGTGCCCTTTTATTTTCCCATATAAGCACAGCAAAATTGTAATATGAGGGAAAGTTTGAAAAAACAATCACATTTGGTGCTATACAGAACATTGGAATGCAATCTTCCTCCTCCTCCTCCTCCTCCTCCTCCTCCTCCTCCTCTTCCTCCTCCTCTTCCTCCTCCCAGGTAATTTAGCCAAAGGTGGCACCAATTAGTTTGCATGTCGTGGAAAAGACTGTTTGGATTCCATTGATTGATCTGATACATTTGACAATGTTTGCGCTTAGTTGATCACACTTGCCACTTCTAATGGTTTCAAGTAGAGAATGAAAAAAAATAAAACAGGCCCCATGAGTTACTCTCTACCCTCCTGCTTGAATCCAGAGCTACTGATTCATATGGTGGAGTGAAGAGAAAGGATAAAACATGATTTTATATTGTCTCCAACTAAATGTACCCCTGTGCTCTGGTCTTAACCATGTAAGGCCTCAGTTTCCTTTGAAGTCTTCTCTTTATAGTAGACCTGTAGAAGCAACTTCACAGTCAAGCTGAAGAAACTGCTCTTTGTGGGGAATGTGAATGCCTTTCAATGTGAGAATTGTTGTCAATATTAGTCCAATAAAATATTGTTTCATGAAAAATTTGTGGCCATAATTTGTGAATCTTGCTCTTCCTCCTTTCTTATCTGCAACACTATTATTTACAAAACCTGAACAGAGTTGCTTCCTAATTCTGTTACAAACACTTCAAATCTTGAACTGTATTTGTAAACCCTACATCTGCCGTAAAACTTAGGCCTTTCCATTTTTCAATAATCATTCCCCATTAACTTGAGAAGATCATTGGACACTGGTTGATTAGGAAGAGAATGTTATTTAACAAATGAATGGTTTATTCAAAGTGTTCCATCTGTAGCCCACGTTCATAGCCTTTTTAAAATTAAAATAAAGAATAAATATTTAAACTGTGCAGCATGCTCTTTTAAAGACTGAAGGGAGTGGGGAGGTTGTCACACTGCTTCCTTTCTGCTGAAAGTCAACCACATTTTGTTCACTGTGAGCAGTTCAATTGCTTAATCTGCACAATGAATGTCATTGAGAGCATAATGCAATGGCAGTTGGAGCATTAATTCCCTCTTGTATTATTTCTGTGTGCCACAATCCTCCTCCCCCCTCAGTAATTCCTCCTGCTCCCTTGGAGGAAAAAAAAAAAAAAAACACAAACCAAGCACTTTGACAGAGTGGACTCTCATGGTTCACCAGCAATCTGAGTTCTGTTGATTCCCTCTTAGGGTATTCATCTTCAACATATTCACCTATTTTGTCTTATTGTTAGTATCTAGTTCTCAGCTGGAAGGAACAAACAGTATACTATTGAGAAATATGCAACGGTATAATTTAATGGCAGCGCTGAACCATTTGACATAAATGAACTTGATTTTCTGCATCGAGCAATTTCATCTAACAAACCTGTAAAGCAATTCCATAGCAGCAATGTGGATGTAAACAGAAAAATATTGGGGAGGGGTCATTCTTCTATTCGTGCTGGAGAGAAGAGGCAGCAGCTTTTTATTTGAAACTGATTTACATAATGGTTCCTACAAAGAGCAAAGGTCCTGGCAAAAAAAAAAAAACCTCTATTCAAATTAAATTAGCTTGAATTTCTGGGGGGGGGGGGGGAAGAGGCAGGCTTGATTAATTCATTTTAGAAGTTTGACAGATTATAATATCTCAAATCCCATAATTTCCTCTATAAAGAAATAAATGGGAATTGTCCAGAACTATTTAATGAAATAACAGTTTCTCTCTTTTTCGGAAAACCCGGCACAAGCCAGCAATACTATATTATGAGGAGTGTCTTTTTGTCTACTGCACATAACCAAAAGGGGGCAGCACCCTATCTGTCATTTTGGGATTGCCTCAGTTACTTTAATGACATTACCCTCTATAATTCCTTTCCCTCTGAAGTGAGCGCAGGAAGCATTAATTACAAATCAGAAAGCCAGCCATTTTGCATAGAAAGGCAAGGTTGTTTGAATGTACTTCACTCCCGTAGGAGGGGAGATTAGCAAGAATCTTTTGAAAGTTGATCTTACAAAACACTGAACATCTCCTAAAAGCAGATTAGCCCTCCATAATATTCATTTACACACAGAAAGCATTCCACCCTTTAAGGTGGTTTAAGTTATAATTGGGATTTAAGTGGTTCTACATAAGCATTAACACATCGAGTTGTGAAAGTTACATGTTCCTTTCGAAGTGAATAGAAAAAAAAAATGGTCTGCTTTTTCCAAAGAATTAGAATTGGGTAAAGATGATTTTTATTTTTTTCTGGGCAAAATAGAAATGATGCAAATACCTTTTCCTAGCGCAGCATCAGATCTTTGAGTCAGAATACGTTCTGGATATAGGCAGGATGTAAATTTGAAACAGCAGTAGTCCTAGCTGGATTTTCTTGAGTTCCCGTGCTGATGAAGGGTGAACTATAAAAACTGAAATAAAAAAGGAATGTTTTTATGGCATTAGCAGTTAAGCAATGAAACCAGTAACATGGGGGTGGGGGAAGGCTGCTGTCTACTCTACTGAAAATTTTTAATTTGAGGCTTCAAGTCAATTCTAGCTATGGATTCTCTTCATTGAGCAGAGCAGAGTTATGTACCTTCAGATCTTTTGGGACAAGTCTTCAATATGCTCCATTCATGCTGATTGCACCGCTGCCCCAGTTTGTGCAAGAGGCCACATGGTGTATTGTGTGAGCGGTGGCAATGGTGCAAGCAGCACAATGCTCCATGTGGCCTCCTGCTGCGAGCGGTGGCATCTGCAGGATTGACACAATGTGCCACTCTTCCTCCTGCTATAGGTGGCAGCACCAACGCAATCAGCATGATGTGCCACCCGGTCTCCTGCCGCAAGTGGCAGCATTGGAACAATCGGAGCAATTCACCGTGCGGCCTCCTGTTGCGAGTGGTGGCACCAGTGTGATCGGCGTAATGAGCCCTGAGGCCTCCTGCCACAAGCAGCAGCACCAGCACAATCGGCATGATTGGCGTGATGAGCCATGCTGCCTCTTGTTATGAGCAATGGTAGCAGCGCAATGCACCATGTGGCATGCACCCACATGTGGCTGCAGAATGGGAGGCCAGGCTGTGGCAGTCCTAAGGTAAGACATCCCCTGAAAATAAGACTCTTTTGGAGGCATATATATATATATATATATATATATATATATATATATATATATAAGACCGGGTTCATTTTCGGGGAAATATGTTGGGTTTATGGTTAAGAGAGAAAAGTTTCAGGTCGCCATCTTGAGGGAAATTTACTTGCCTTTAAACTGAAGCCAAGGTTGCTTTTCTGTTCCTGGTTAAGTTTTGTTGTCTCTCCATTGTAATCCAGAATAGAACCAGGAATCCAGTCCATAATGAGTCTGATCTAGGATAGGATCCAGAATGTAATCCAGAGTATAATCTTGAATAGGGTCTTGAGTTGTATCTAGAATATAATCGAGAATGGAATCCAGAATACAAGCAGGAATGAAACCCTGAATCTAATCCAGAGCAAGTTCCAGAATGGGATCCAGAAAAAGTGACCAGAAAGAGAATCCAGAACCACATGTGGGTTGGGATCTGGAATCTAATCCAGAATGGGATCAAGAATGGGATCCAAGAATCAAACCCAAAGCGTGATCTGGAATGCTATCCGGATTCCAATCTGAAATAGAACACAGAATGGGATCCAGAATCAAATATATAATATGATTCCAATCCAGAATAGAATCCATAGTCTGGTGCAGGATCCAAAACCTAATCCCAAAGAGCTGATGTGATCCAGAATTTGTGATCTGGAATATTATCCAGAATGACATCCAGAATCAACCCCAGAAAGTGATCTGGAATGGTATCCAGATTTCAATCCCAAATGGATCCAGAGTCCAGTCCAGAATAAGTCTAGCATACGATCCAAAACCTAAATCAGAATAGTGTACGGAATGGGATCCAGAATCCAACCCAAAATAGGATTTGAGGTCCAATCCAGAATTTAGCCCATGAAATAATTTGGAAAAAGGAATTGGGTTTCCAATACAGAATGGAATACAGAATCCAGTCCAGAGTACAGCCTGACACGGGATCCAAAATTTAATCTAGAATAGCATATGGAATGTGATCCAGAATCTGATCCGGGATGTGGATTGGAATGTGATCCAGAATCAAACACATGTTGTTATCTGAAATCAGATCTAAATTCTAACCAGGATAGAATCCAGAAAAGAGAGTTGAATGGAATCTGATCCAGAATGAAATCTGGAGTGGGATCCAAAATCTAGCCTAGAATGGAATTGATGATGGGATCCAGAATCTAATCCAGGATGGGATCCAGACTGGAATCCAGAATATGGTGTGGAATAGGGTGTGGAATTGGATCCAGAATCCAACCCATCATCTCGTCCAGCATGGGAATGTTAGTGAGTGAATAAGGGCAATATATAACTTGTTCCTAGAAAAAAATAGAGGCTGGGCATCTCTTGGACACCTTGAAGAAAAGAAGGGATAGACAGGTCTGGGCAGAGAAACAATGATCTAATGTCACTGGACATTTTTTTTATAAAAGCAATACTTTTATGCCACTTTAGTCATCTGATTCTAAATAGAATACAGCAACCACCTACAACATCTAACATTACAATGATTAACAAATGATCAAAATGGTTAACTATATCAGATAATGAATACAATCAATATAAATCTTAATATAGTCATAAAAATGGTGTGTTATAACTTCAGATCAACTAGGTTAAGCCCAAACTCAGGACCATCTCATATTCTACTCCTCCAATGTACATAGGAAGAATCATGTTTTTAAAAGTTTCTTAAATATTCAAAGTGAGGCATTGCCATTCTTACCCAGAACAGCTTCTGTAGAGAATGATCTTTTCCAAGGGTCCTGGATGTTATTCAAAGCATCCAGAATCAACCCAGTTCAATTTTCAAATGGCCACGAATGTGACATTATTTCCTCTAACATGTAGTCATCAACTATGCAGTTTGGGGACTCTTCAGCTAAGGATGGGTCTAGAGGCAGCACTGAGTTATACAACAGGTCAAATCTTACTATCAAAACCTGTGTTAGTCTTTGTATATATCTCTCTTTCTGTCTGCATCCTTTAAGGCAGGGGTCTCCAACCTCTGGTCCATGGACTGGTACCGAGCCGCAGCATACCAGCAACCGGTCCATGCAAACAAGCAAACTTCACTGACAATTTCCAACAAGCACAGTTAATGGGGAAGCTGCAACCAGGACTGCCAGAACTGCCATTGTAAGTCGATGTGATCATCTGATTTATTTATTTATTTATTGCTTTATGAGCACGTCACTTAGCGATGGAGTTGCTGATCCCAACTACAGTTGTTAACTGAGGACTACCTCTACCAGGTGGATGAAAATGGGTGTTCTTGACTGCCATCTAGTGGTTCTCTGGATTTTGGCAGCCCAGATCGATTGTCAGCTATTGCATAAGTGTGCAAAATTATTTTAGAGAAGGATATTTCACGCTGGAATTCCTTTCCTTGCAAGCTTTTGTTACAGGTTCTTTTTTTTTTTAACAGAAAATTAGTTCTGGATGGGCATATTTTAGTATAGTACTGCTGATTGAAACCCAAAGGTCCACTCAGATGTGAAACTAAAGGTAAAGGTTTCCCCTATCCTGTCAAAGGATTATTAGGGAGTGCTGTTCACCTCGGTTCCTTCAGCATCTTCCAAAGAAACTTTTATGGTCATGAGGCCAGCATGACTAGACGCCAAGGGAGAATCACACAATATCCTTCACTTGGTTATATATCCATATTTTGGTTTTGCACAATACATTGAATCGTCATTTAAATGTTTTTGTTCTGTTGGCTTTCTCCTTTTAAAGTGTGAGAGACAGAAAGTATGGAGAGGGGGAAAGAATCAATAACTATGAGCCGAGGTGGCGCAGCAGTTAGAGTGCAGTACTGCAGGCCACTTTAGCTGACTGTGTTCAGCAGGTCAACGGTTCAAATCTCACCGGCTCAAGGTTGACTCAGCCTTCCATCCTTCCGGGATAGGTAAAATGAGGACCCAGATTGTTGGGGGCAATGTAAATATATATACACATTGCTTACTGGTGTACATCGCTTAGAGAGTGCTTGCACTTAAAGCGCTATATAAGTCTCATAAATAAATAAATAAATAAATAACATTTGCATGATATGCATGTATTACTTCAGACAGGTTTTTTTTTTACAGCAATCAAATATTGTAACTCACAGTTTGTTGCTTTATAAGATCTCAGACTGCTTCTGAAAAGTCCCACACTAGCCTTTCCTAACTGAGGTTTCTTGGCGAGTTAGAATTCCAACACTCAGCATTCTCTGACCTGCTTGCTGGCTGGACATTGTGGGATGGGTAGTCCTATTACACCTGAAACATATTGGGGAAGACTCCTCTAGAATCCCAAGCGAACTCATTTTGTAATATGGAGTTTTTATCTAAGCACAGAGTGGGAATTGCAGGTTAGCTTGTGCAGGTTTTACTAAAGAAGGGGGGGAGGGGGAAAACAACAGTGCAAGAAGTATTTTACTTCTTATGTGAAAAGAATCTTATATTTGTTTTCCCGACACAGCACTGAAAAAGAGTGTAAGGAGAAAAAAAATAAGCTAATACTGAAAATCAAGTTTGCAATATTGCATGGGTCCTAATGCATACAAATACATAGAGATATGTATGCATATCATGCCCTTACTAAGCACATTGAATGCAAATGGGAGGCGATTGTGTGAAAAGAGCTGCTTGCTGCTGATTCCGCTGCCTCCTTGTCCTCCTCCTTTTAAAAATCTGTTACACATTCTCTTCTTGCTCACTGCTTATTAATCATTAAGGGTGTTGTTTATGACATTGTTTCTGATTGAAGATGTCAGGGTTCATACAGACGAGCTGTAAAGATGCCTAGTGGAGCAACTGAATGTTCATGCAAATTGCCTCGCGTCCTAAACACAGAAAGGCAAAAATGGCGATAAAACCAAGCTGAAGTAGCTATTAAAAAAAAAAAGATGCAAAAATAGCACTCTGAATGCAGGCTCAGCAGCTCTTTTTGACGATGACTATGATGATGATGATGATGATGATAGAAGAGGAGGAGGAAAGGCAAAGGAGAAGAATGTGTGCATATTGCAAACAAAGCAAAACACCTTAGAACTACTTACACACTTCTTATTTATTTGTAGCAAAGGTCACACCAGGATGGTGGAAAGTATCCTGGCAGGGCTAGTTCATCTTTTGAGAAATGGGGTTTCATAACCCTACCATGGCAGCCATTTTGTGAATAGATAAATTTCTCAGGCACCTACCACTGGCTCTCAAACTTTAGCACGAAAAAAACCTGTCCCTCTCTGATTTAGAAATTCCATTAAATAGAGGTGATTCTGGATGGTGGAGCCTTCCATTT